TCTGTCTGCAACTTATAAACTAAAATTGCATCTCCCATCTCTGATTAAGTTTTCCAGCTAGAGTACAGTGAACATCCACTCCACTAGAGCAGATGAATCAGGCACTAGACATCAGGTGCTTTGACTGGCAAATTTGGCATGGAGTGATAATACAGCACTTTGACTATTATACTGGTACATCTCAAAAGCAGAGATTACTGCACGCATCAGTTTTTTTGATGGCTTTTACCTTAACAGTTGGGACTGAATGAATGGCTTTGGTGGGTTGGAGGCTGAAAGACACGTCTCTGTGCCAAAGATGTAATTTTCTTCCTTTTTTTCATCTCTTCATATTTGCGCATTGCCCAATTTAAACCGTCTGAAAGGAGCTCCAAATTTTGAATATCAAGTCGAAGCCATTTTTCAGAGATTTCATTAATCTCCATCGTATTATTTGGTAGGTCTTAGATCTTTTGTACAGTCAAAGTTTTCAGTTCATGGCTTATTAGTCTGCTGGGTTTGTTTCACTCTGAGACTTTACTGGGACCTTGAAAATGGATTTCAGCATATTTACATGTTTGGTGCTTCCTGGTGCCCCTCAAGTAATTGAGCGAGCAGATTTGTGGTGATGAGATACTATTGAGGAAATCTTTACAAGATATTGGCAGCATGATACGGCTTGATCAAAAGCATTTTAGTCAATTAATTGTATGGTCTGCGCAAAGCAACTTGCCCAATCTAGATGAAATTGGCCCTGCTGTTTGTTACTTGCAAGTTTCCAGAGGGTGTTGGGAAATTTTATTGGGCTTTCATCTTGTGGGCTGCATTGCAAGAACCTCTATGACCTTTCTACTACATTTCCACTGCGTTTCAGTGGCAGATTATATTTTCAGCTGAGTGTACACACAGAATATAGCAGAAAGATTTAGGTTTGATGGCTTGAATCCCAGTGCTGACAGGAACTCATGAATGAAACAAACAAACAGCGGTACGGCTATTGGGACCATAGTCCTGCTGGGTACTTTGGCTCAAAATGTCTCCAGAGCTTTATAATGCAGTGGCTTCGACTCTCACCTTTCTCTGCATGTCTTCTGATGCTGCTCGCTAGAAAAGATCCTCAATTTCCACTGTTGTTCTGTTTTATATTGCTGTTTAAAGTTTAATGGTGCTGCAGAATTTTAATCACGAATTTGTCTGACTGAAGACAGAATTGGGCTTCCCAAAGAGAATCGAGTGAAAGATTGCCTGTGTTGTGCAGATTAAAACAAAGAAGAGAAAGAAAAGAGTCTTTAATAGAATGAAGAAATGTCAAGCACTTCTTGTAGATGTGGTAGGCCATAATTAAACCTATAGGCCTAAGTGGAGATAATTAAATCAGCAAATGGCATGGTGCATAAAGGAAGAGAGGGTCTGCGGATGAAGCGTTTAGTGATGTATGAGTAAGGGATTTCCCTCAAAGTCGTCATATCTTGGGCTTAAGTGAAATTTGAATTACAAAAATTACTTAAAAATGTTATGAAAAAGGTTTAAGTTTAAGTAAAATTTTATATATATATATATATATATATATAAAATAAATTATATGTAAAACCTATATGTAAAAATTAAAATGTGTAAAGATGTTTATTGAAGGTTTTTCTTGATGGTTACATCACATTGACACATTGATTTTTCAGCATTATCAGCATTATCTTTGTTTTCTTGCTTAATGCATGGCTATGCATGAAAATCGACATGAAATATTATTTGGATATAATTTATTTAGTTTTCAATATATTTTTTATTTTATTTAAATATATTATGCAAAAAGAAAGAGACCGTGGAGTAATACAAGACTTGAATTTGGTCTGATCAGAATCAAGTACTCTGGAAAGCCCATTTATCTGTCTACATGTTTAGCTCTACTTGTGAGGGCCAGCCTTTTAAAAAATATCCTCAAAAATATAGCAAAACAAATCAAATGAGAACATTTGAAGTTGTTCTCCCTAGCTGAAATGCCCTTAAATCAACCAAACCTCCTTTTGGGATGCCCTTAAAAAGAAAAGTGTTTCATAAATAAACTAAATAATTATTTATTTTAAAATGCAAAAAGTTTTCTTTTAGCCAAGGGATACTGCATTTGTGTCCACATATAAGCGTTTATTTACTTTGAGCCAAATTCTGTCTCAAGTAAAATGCCTTCACAGATTTCACTCCTCTCTTTCACTGTCCTTAAATTATTCAGCAGACAAAAACATCTCAAACATTTATAAGCCCATTCTTAGAGGGGCCCATTCTTATGAGAAGTGTGACCTCCCTGTTTGGCATAAAGGACTGACTCAAACCGAGTTGAGATTATGGATCAAAGCATAAAAACACCACAGTCTCTTCAGCGGCATTCACACAGTCATGATCTAGGAATTCAACCGAAAAAAAAGTCTTCCGGTAATAGCATTACAGAAATGACAGGAATCAAGCCTGTAAAGAGCAGATCAGCTTTAAAAAAATATTATATGGGGAAAAAAGCATAGCTGTCAGGACAAATTTCTTTTCTTTTATTCCCTTTCCACATAAAAATAGGTAAAGAGAGAACTATCAGGGACAGGATAGAGATCCAGAAAGTGCTGCTTGCGGTAATGGGAATGATAAGGCAGAGAGTTGGTGAGATGGTGGTAAGCTGAGCGTGTCATTACACATTCATTGAGATTAGGTTATGTCATCTCTTGCTCTCTTATAAAAGAGCCAATTAAAGAGAAAGAAATGAGGATGGAAAGAAAGCGCTTACAGTGAATGAATACCGTCTGATTGCAGTAACCGCACTGCCGCTGTTGGACATTGAGGGCAAGCAGATTGGTTAATTGAAAGTGATCTGCTAATGAGGTAAATTGACTACATTACCCACGTCTGCCTGTTTCTCAAGGATGGCACAATGGGGGCTGAGTTTCTCATGCTGAATGGTCTCAATTATGTGGTTGTCTGAAACAGTGTGTCTCTGTGGCTGAAAGGTTAAGGACTCGGGCTGTTTCTCTTCTAATGAACCCCCTCCCCGAACTGTCAAACAGCACCCCTCTACCCCACCCCTTCTATCCTCTGCTCTTAGACTTCTTCTCTTCTGCTTCTTTTGTAAAGTAATTTTGCGGCCCCTCTCTCGCTTCATGTCATCTTCACTGGGGGATGTACTGTGGAAAGTAGGAAGGAAGGAAGGAAGGAAGGAGGAATGAAAAGAAGATGAAATTAAGTCAACCAATGAATGAGTGAATGATAGAAAGATTGGAAGGAAGGAGAGGAAATAAAGAATGACTGAGAGAAGGAATGAAGAAACAGATGAGTGAATGATGCGAGGAAAGAATGAATAAAGGATATAAGTAAGAATTGAAGCAATGAATGAAGGATGGATAGAAAAAGGAGTGAGTAAATTAATGAATGAAGGAAAGACTGAAATAATGAATATTGGATGGATGGAAAATTAAAGGAGTGAATTAAATAATAAATAATGAAAAAAGAAAAGAAAGGAGGAGTGAGGAATGAATGATGCAAGGAAGGAACAAATCAAAGATTGAATTAATTATAGAAGGAGAGAGTATAGAATGAAATCAAGAAAGAAGGAGGGAAGAGGCTTTAATGAATAATAGGACTGAACCAGTGAATGAATGCTGGGCAGGTGGATGGAAAAAAAAGAGTAAAAGAATGAATGAATGGAAAAAAAAGGAAAGAATAAATAAAGGATAACAGAAAAGGAAGGAGGGGAAATGAATAATGGAATGAAGAACAGATGAACAAAATGAAAAAATTAAGGAAGGATAAAAATATGGAAGATTGACTGAACTGAATATATGAATCAGCAAATGAATATAAATGAATAGAGGAATGTAGAAAAGACTGAAATACAGGCTCCAGAGTCAAATCACTGAGGGTGCTTCTTAAATTAGTGAGGGTGCTCTCTCTCTCTCTCTCTCTCTCTCTCTCTTGCTATATATATACTGTATATATATATACTATATAAATAATATACAGTATTTGTGCCATCCATTGCTATGGTGCAAGAGCATTCCCTTTATAATCATTAAAGGCTGTCACTCATCTTAGTTCATCACAATCTCAAAAAGTTACGTTATAATATATGAAGTTCTCTACGCTGCACAATTAATCTCTTATTTACATCACGTCTACACTTTGTTGTAATGAGATGATTCGTTCTGAACACAACACCTGAACAAAAACTGCGGCAATTTGAGCGGTGAGTGGATTCTAACTTAAACGCCTCTGACTGTCTGTTGTGTTCAAGAAATCAACAGATATGTCTGTGATTGGCTACATTGCTCAACGCTGCAAAAGATGTTGAAATAGAAACCGATCTCCAGAGCGCAAACCATAACACATTGGATAGTTTGCCAAATCTGCAATGAAATGCCATTATTACAGCATTAACTGAGGGTGCTATTGATTTCATTTGAGGGTGCTTAGCACCTTCTAGCACCCCCGTAGAACCGGGCCTGCTGAAACAATGAATAAAGGACAGATGGATGGAAAGAAGGAAGGAGTGAATGAATAATGAAAAGAAGGAATGAGGAAAGGAGGAGGAATAAATTATGGTAGGAATGAGAACAGATAAAAGAATAAATTATGGAAGGAGGGATGAAATCAATAAAGAAGAAGGGAATAGGAATGAATGAAGCATAGGACTAAACCAATTAATAAATGATGGGTAGATGGAAAGAAAAAAGGAGTGAGTGAAGGAACAAACAAATGAATGGAAGGAAAGAAAGAAAGAATGGGTGAATATGAGTAAATGAAGGATTAAAAAAGAATGAAATAATAAAAGGAAGGAATGACTAAACCAACAAATGAACAACTGTAATATGGAAAGAATAAGAAAACAGGAATGAACAAATCAATTAATGAATGAATGATTCAACCATTAAAAAAGAAAAAGACAAAATGAATAGAGGCATAAATGAAGGAAGGAAGGACTGAATCGATCAAAGAGTGATGGAATGAAGTCAGTAAGAACGTTCAGATGTTTCTTGTGTCTGTGCTCGCAGGAAACAGAGATCCTGAACACCGCAGTGCTGAACGGGAAGACGGTGGCGGTGCCGGTGAAGGTGGTGACGGTGGGCACAGACGGGACGGTTACAGACGTGTCAGACGCTGTGCAGTGCCAGTCCACTGATGAAGACGTGGTTAAGGTCAGTCCTCTGAGTGATTGTTCCTGCCTCCTTCAATCATAATGATTCACTCAAATGAACAAACAAACCAAAGCATGTTGTGTCATGTTGACTTTTAATCAATATGATAGGATTCAAATGAAGCTCACAATAAATTTCATTCATTTCTAATGAGGTTTTTCCAATGATTAATGGAGGTGATAATTATTCATCATGTCGGGATTCTTATTCGAATTGGAAAAAATGCTTCAAGAATCAATCTGAACTTGAACGGATCTGTTGGAAAGTTCTTTTCAAAGAAAATGCATCTCAATGACAGTCCTCAGTCATCCGTCCTCCTCCATCTGTCTGTTCTCACTCTGACACTTGTTTAATAGAGATCCGTTTCTCTATTTCTATATCAGCATGTTACAACAAGCTGGCAAGATGCCATGTGTTGTCCCTTGTGAAAAAGAAGTATACTGATGCAAAAAGAGTACTTATTACAGAAGTCATATACAGTAAGTGTGAACTGAATGTAATGTTTTGGACACTCAGGAATAGTTCACACAAATTTGGAAATTTGCTGACAATTTACTCAATTTGTAGACGAGTTTGTTTCTTCATTGGAACAGATTTGGAGAAATTTAGCATTGCATCACTTGCTCACCAGTGAATAGGTGCCGTCAGAATGAGAGTCCAAACAGCTGATAAAAACATCACAATAATTAAAAATTACTCCACACCACTCCAGTCCATCAATTAACGTCTTGTAAATCAAAAAGCTGCATGTTTGTATGAAACAAATCCATTATTAAGGCATTTTAACTTTAAACCATTGTCTTGTGATTCAGACAAGACCTTTTTTTTTCACTGGTGAAAGCAATATTATGGATAGAGGACTCATATTTTAGCCTGAAATCAAAAACTTCTTGATGGATTTGTTTATTACAAACACACAGCTTTTCACTTCACAAGACAATAATTGATGGACTGGAGTAGTGCAGACTAGACTGGAGTCGTGTGGATTATTGTGATGTTTTTATCAGCAGTTTGGACTCCCATTCTTACGGCACCCATTCACAAGATTTGAAGTACACTGCAAGTGCACATTGAATACAGTTAAGCACACTTTTTATTCACAAGAGTTCCACTTTTTGATTTCTAAAATTTCTATATATTTTTTTTATAATTCTTGTCTTTTTGGGTTTCTTTCAAATGCCTCCAGCTGGAGCTCAGTCACATATGAGCTCAGATTCAATCATAGCGTATATAATTATGATATGTTTGATTACGCATGAGACGAAATCTGCTGAAGCTTGTTTCTTAACAAGACTGGATTGTATGATTTTTTTCTAGAGATGGTAATTTGTGTTTGACAGGCCTATTAAGTTGAGGTTGTTTAGACATGAAATTCTCTAATTTTAAATGACCCAAAAGACTTACGCAATCAGCTTTCACTGTGGGATTGATTTAATGCCGACGACGTTCGTAAGAATGTTTTTAATTGCTAATTTCAGTGTATTTCTTCACAGTTAAAAACACAGCTGTGCTTCAGCTAAAACTCCCTCTTAAAATCATTAAAGGCTTTGGTCATATGCAAATGATCAAAACGTTGTATATGTTTACATAGACTGCAATAATCCAATGTTGGGCCTAACATTTCATTCATATTCATGAGTAAAAGTTGTAGCTTATCCCAGTTCATACTGTAGCTGAAGATGTGCAAATTACTTTGGATATGTTGAGAAAATGGAATATGTGCAGTTATTACCTTAAGGAGCTATTTCTACTTGATACGATCCTTAAAATGACTTCCGTTGGCTAATCTAATGTAGTCCGGCTGATTCACACATTAAATAACCAGCTAATAAAACCAGCTAATTTAGATGTCACCTTATGAAGCACATATTTAGCCTGCAGTCAGAGTGTCCCTCCACTTTAAAACTTAACTTTGAACTGTTAACTTTATCAAAGACGGGGGAGTGTTTGTAAAACCAGTCATTATTTAGTGATGCTTGAGGTACAGAAATTACACACTGCAGCTTCAGAGTATCTTCTTTCTGTGGCCTGACTAGAACAGTGCAGGGCAATACATGATTGATCACCTGCTCTGTAAAAATCCTACAGTTAAAAAAAAAAAACTTGGTTGGCCCCAGTTTAAAACTTAACTTTGAACTGTTAACTTTATCAAAGACGGGGGAGTGTTTGTAAAACCAGTCATTATTTAGTTATGCTTGAGGTACAGAAATTACATACTGCAGCTTCAGAGTATCTTCTTTCTGTGGCCTGACTAGAACAGTGCAGGGCAATACATGATTCATCACCTGCTCTGTAAAAATCCTACATTAAAAAAAAAAAACTTGGTTTGCCCCAGTTTGCTATCCCATAATACCTCAAAAACTGCCTCTTTTTTTTTTTTTTGAGATGTAAATGTAAAAAGATGTTTTGTTTATTTTTTATATGGTTTTCTTAGATTTGTGTCTAAACCTTTTGCTATTGTGGAGGTTCTTCATCTTATATGAAAACCTACACAATCACCTTCAGCCCAGAGTCCTAATTTCAACAAATTATTTTAGTAGTTCACTTACTTTTAGAATAACAACATGCTATGGAAACTGAGGCATATAATAAAGTTTTGCAATTACTCAATCAAACCTTAGCTGACCATGTGAAAATATCTCTAAAACATGAGCAGAATGACAAATCATTTTAGCTGATAGGGATTAATGTTACAGTAAGTATACAAGTGTGGCATTGTAGCTAAATAATGTATGACGTACACACTAATGGATCTGCTTGGATCACAATCACAATGTAGTGGGTTAGAAAGATAACCATTTTGATATGAATTTTCTATTTCCTTGGAGACTGATGCTCTGTGTGCTTTTAAAAGAACTATATAATAAAAGAAGGAACAATGTAATAAGGAGTGTGGAAGATTGGAAAATATTTTGTTTCTCCAGAGAGTTAGAGTGAAAAAAAGCCATTTTCTTCCTATATCATGACCACCAATTTGGATATTGCATCATTATGTACAGTTTGGATCATTTTCTCCCAATTAATTTAATACAGAAACCCATCAGCCTGCCTATAGCCACAACAATACATAGTTAAAGAAAATAAATGTAATGCATAATAGACTAAATTACACGATCTCTTTAGCTCAAGCGACAGTGCCAAAATGCTGAATAGCTATACTGTGCTGCATTATATCATGTTCTTACATGCTAAATAGAAAACATTAGCATTTTTATCTTTATTAATGATTTAGCAGTGCTACAATTGGTGAAAGCACACTAGTTATGCATTCGTGCATTCAGAAATACTTACAGGAGAGCTTTATTTCAAATAAATAAATTGTGAAGCAGTTGTTTGCTGACATGAGGTCCCAGATTCTGCATGTTTCCAGACTTGCTGTTGGCTTTGTTTGATCTGTTTTACTGATGTAACCTGCTTGAGTAGCAGTCTGTGTCTGTAGTTACTAGCCACACAACTCAATATGTCTGAAGTGCAGACTGTAAATACATCTCTTCTGATTTTGTCACAAATTGTGAGAACGTTGGCAAGTAAGGTCATTCTGACATCAACTTCAAATCAAAGCGCCTGAAGTTCTTTCAATCTTGTCACAAACAGCTGGATCAATTTCCAACTTCTGAGAACTTCAAGAGCATATACGAGTGTTTGATAGTTGACCTTGATTAAAGTATGTAATTCTCACTCATCATATTTCAGTTTTGAAATCCCTCGAAGCTATGTGCACTTGACATTTGTACATGTACAAAGAAGAGCACTTCCTACACATCCAAAACACAATGTCTTCAGAGTAGTTGCTTATTTTTAGGGGTTTTTTCCCTGCCATTTTTCTTCCTAATAGCCTTAATATGTTTTCCTCATTTTTTCTTTTCCTTTTTATCTTTTTTCTTTTTTTCCTTAATGTAAATGATCTAATATTGCTTATTTAAAAAAAATTAATAAATCAAAAAAACAAAATTGTCCGCACACTGAAAGACAAACATTTAGACCAAGGAAAAATTTATTTAATTTAACATCTACAAGGTGAAAAAAGTGCAAAAAAGTCAAAAGTGTCTTAAAAACAGACCAAAGTTTTTTGATGCAAAAAAATAAATAAATAAAATAAAATAATCCATTCACTGTGACACTTCATAAAAAGTCAACTGGCCAGTAAAGCTATTTTATTTACCTTTTCTAAAAATTCATCACATTTGGTGCTTGGTAAAAGTTAACTTTGGATCCTCTTTACTTGGTTGTATGATATTCAGAACAATACTGTATGTTGGGGTTGGTGAGATTTTTTTTAATATTTTTGAAAGAAGTCTCTTATGCTCAGCAAGGCTGCATTTATTTGATCAAAATTACAGTAAAATCTGTAATTTTCTTAAATATTATTACCGTTTTAAATAGCTTCTTATTATCATCGATGCTGAAAACAGTTGTGCTGCTTAGTATTTTGTGGAAACCATGGTACATTTTCTTTCAGTTTTTAAGAAAGTTCAAAAGAACAGTGTTTATTGGGAATTTGTTGTAACAATCTAAGTCTTACTGTCACTTTTAATCAATTGAATGCATACTTCCTGAAAAAAGTATTAATTCTTACAGACCCCAAACCTTTGAATGGTTTTTTATATATATATATATATATATATATATATATATATATATATCTTTAGCATAATATTAATATTTTTTTCTAACATTTGTTCTTTGTGAACCATTTTTCTGCTTGTTTAATTCACTTTATTAGATGAGCTAATGCAACACTTTCAATTCCTAAAGTTTTTGTCACATCACTTGTAATTGCATGCAATCCGCTTAAATGTGTTAAATGGAAGTTTACTCACTTTAATTGTGTTGGGACTATGTGAATAGATTTTGGCATTAACTGAACCTGGGCATGGGATTTCAAGTTCCCAGTATGCTCTGCATGAGGAGTAAATCTTAAAATGATGTAATTATTTTAGGTGTTTTTGAGCAAGATGAGAAAAGGGAGAGACTTTTTTGCACTTAATGTTTAATGTTCC